AGGGTGCTTGACCATTTTATCACAACGTGGTGCCATCATCCCCCTTGCGCGGAGTGAGGACTCTCGACCCCGCAAAACATGATCTACTCGACCACCATTATGGTTATCGCTAAAACAGAGGTAAAAAAACAACGACAACCTGGTTGCCGAGCTCACGAAGTGAAGTGGCATTGTCTCCCATGAAAGGCAGTGCACTCACAGGGCACCTCCTGCAACAGCGGCAGGGTGAACTCATTGTCGTGCATGACAGACCATTGACCTCGCATCCCTACATAGCCGGGGTGGAGCACGCCGGGTTCTCACAGGACCAGGCTCTCACATCACCAAGCTCGAAGCACCATGAGGTATTCGGCGAGTCGCATGAAGGGTGCGCTGCATCCTGCCAAGGGTGTTCGGCATCTTGTGCTTACTTCTTTGTTTACGGATGACACTAAATTTATTTTCTGGTGACTTCACTTCCAGAGGCAGTTAAAAGTACTATGAGGCTGCCTCGAGGGTGCTTTTCCAGTTTAACACAACGTGGTGCGATCAACCCGCTTGCGCGGAGTGAGGCTTCTCCACCCCACGCAACACGATCTACTCGACTTCCATTATGGTTACCGCAATGAGAAATCAGGCAGGGGGGGGGTGAAAACAGGGGAGCGTGACAATGATTTCGATGTCGACCGTGTGTGAAGAAGCGCTTAGACCAGGACGACCCCAGATGTTTCGACTATGCAGGTTGTGTGGCAGCAAGGCTTCGTGACAAAACGGGAGTGAAAAAGGCCGCACGTGTGACAAAGTGCGCTCAAAGGAGGAACCCACACACAGATTTTGTTGATTGGGTTAGAAAAATATGGGCATACGCGGGAATGAAAGCCAAGGCGATACGCGCCGCTTCATCGCGTGCTTCCCGTATTCTCACAATATTCCCTTTGAAATGACTCACATATAATACAAACTCGAACGAACGCGTGGGTACTTCACAAAGCGGGTGTGCGGTATATGTGTTCGAACACGGCAGTGCAATAGTACCTTGGAAAAATGAAAGGCCATCACACCACGCATTGTCAGCCTTGCGTTCATTCTGAACGTTGGGACTATGCAGGACACAAGCAAACGCCAGCAATTAATCAACCTACGCTACAAGAAAATAGACGATCGGCCGTT